CTGACAGATGCGTTCCCCTGTTTGGGCTGCCATAACAAAATACCAGACTGGGCGTCTTAGACAAGAGAAATTTGTTTCAGCTCAGCAAGCTGGGAAGTTCAAGATCAAGACACCAGTCAATTCACTTTCTGGTGAGGGCTCATGTCTGGCTTGTAGATGGGTCTCATCTCCCTGTACTCAAACGACCTCTTTTTTTTTTTTTTTTTTTTTTAAAGAGTAAAAGAAGGATAACATAATAATAGGGGGGGCTTACCAAATTACAGACAAAGTGGTAGGAAATTATCAACGGTTATTGTTTTACATATTGTTATCTACAAAATAGTTTCTCAGGAAAACAAATAGACAAATGATAGTGAGTTACAGACAAAAGAGGTAGGAGATTATCAATAGTTGTTGTACTATACTTAGGTATCTTCAAAGTGGCTTCTAAAGAATATAAATAGGGGGCTGGGGATTTAGCTCAGTGGCAAAGCGCCTGCCTGGCAAGCGCAAGGTCGTGAGTTTGGTTCCCGGTACCGGAGAAAAACCAAAAATAAATAAATAAATAAATAAAACTATACATGAGTGACCTACTGAATAATCATTCAATAATTCTCAATGGTTGTTGTAGGAAACACATAATAATAAACATGGATCCATTTATGAAATAGGATAGGAACAATACAAACATTACAGAGTTATGGATAGATTAGTAGGAAAATATCAATGACTGCTATAATACATGGTGGTATCTTCAAAGTGGTTTCTCAGGAAGACAGAGATACACAAGAAGGATCTAACAAGTAGTTACAGCCTAAGGGTTGTCAAAACTCAAGTGAGCCATCTGGGGCCAAAGCCATTTTTTGTAGCATTTTCTCTCCAGCCTCCCATCGCATTGGGACCCCACAACCAGTTAGTGTCTTCCCCCAACTGTCAGCACAGGCAGAAGGAATCCTGCTGCAGACTTCTCCGGAGCTCCACCACAGCCTGTACTGTCAGGGGAAGAATGGCTTCCAGGGAGTCTCCGCAGGTATTGTGCAAGGTCCTCCTGGTTTACAGCTTCTGAGCGGCTCTCATGACCCCAGTCACAGGACCTCTGACTCTGTGGGCTTAGTCTGCATTCTCATGTTCTCTGAGTCCTTGTTCAGCAGCTGCTCCTCTGCTGGCTCTGGACCTTTCTGGTTCTCAATGTCAGGAGCAAGAGTGGCCCGTTGTATGGCATATATTCCCAGGGGTTGTTCAAAGTTTGAATGATTCATCCACGTCCGTGGGTGGGCATCTGCAGTCGGTGCATGGTGGGCCAATTGTGTCATTGTTTCTCTGAGTCATGATAGATCTCAATTGAGCAACGGCGGCTGGCCTAAGGGCCGGCACACAACAGCGCTTGCTGCCGCATGGCTCCCCATGCACTGGGGGCCCTCCCTCCAGGGGCCTACGAGGCAGGAAGCTAGCCAGCCAGAAGACTGGTGCTCCCTGCCCATGGCTCCCCGTGTGCCGGAAGCCGTCCTTCCGGGGGCCTACGAGGCAGGGAGTGAGCCGCCGGTCCGAAGCAAACGACCTCTTTATGCTGGGGGAATAAAGGGAGGGGGAATGAGATTGTTACCTCCCCCTTATGGCCTCACTTAATTTTACCTCCATAAAGGTGTTATCTCCAAATGCAACTACATCACAAGTCATATGAATTTGAGTGAAGAGGAACAGAATTCACTCTATCGCATGAGCTAAACAGGGCACGGCATAGTGTCTGGTACTTAATGAGTGCTCAAAAAATGGAAAAAATTATGATTAGTGTTATGGTTTATATCTACCGTAGATTCCCACACACACCAAAGCCTCATGGCTTATACTTGGAACTTTGGGGAGTGGCTGGATCATGGGTGTGTGATACTGGATCATGAATGTGTGATACTGGATTAGTACACTGATTGGTTTAACACACTTGTGGCTGGTGGATTTACTAAAGAGGGAAGACCCACCCCAGGTGTGGGTGGCACCAACCAATAGGCTTGTAGCCTGTGTGGAATAAAAGGGAAAGTAGAAAAGACTTGCTGCTTCCTCACTGCCATGCTATGGACCCCTTCTCCTCTGCCATGCCCCTCTGTCCCGCTGCCATGCCTTGGAGCCAGCTGACTATGGACTGAAATCTCTACAGACTGAGCTAAACTAAACCTTTCTTTAACTTGTAGGTGTTGATTACTGTGTCTCAGCGATAAGAAAAGTAACTGAGATAATTAGGAATGATTCTTACAGAAATTCTGTTGGAAAAACACACTGAGACTCAATTTCTCCTACTGTACACTCACAACACAGATCACTCCTGTGACCTCAAAAGACATGGGGATTTCGCCCCACTAGCAAGCAGTGAATTCTGCAGCGAACACTAGCTGGGTGTCCTTCACAGGGGAAAGTCACAGCCTCTTACTGTGTTTCCAAACCTAAGTCAACTGGCAGATCCAGAATACCTTGACTGATTAAGAGGTCAGGTCCCCTTCAGGAAAAATCCCACACTGTTGCTACTACCATAAATCTTCCTCTAGCCCTTTCCCAATGGGACCTGCGACCGTGTACTATCGTGACAGTGCATTTGGGAAGAAGGAAATACCTAGGTCTTTTGAGGATTCTAAACACTGGCTCTCAGTTGCCCTTTGGGGACCAACATGGGGGCTTATGGTAGTCAGGTGACAGATGGAGCCTTACCAAAGGTTCAACTTAAAATAGGGCCAACGCTATACTTTCAGGGATCATTTCTACAGTATGTTACAATAGGACCAGCTGACCAATTATGGTTATTCTCTCAGTTCCTAAGCATATAGATCAGAATATAAATACTTGGCAACTGGAAGATTCCCTACATTGGCTTGCTGACCCACACAGTGAGGCTCAGGATGGGAAGAGCAACCTAGAAGCCCCTGGAACTTTCAGTCCCTTCCAATATGGTGATCTGAGGCGACACCACATCTCCAGAGGAATCTCAGTGATTGAAAGACTTGAAAGATGCCAGGCATAGTGGTGCATGTCTGTAATCCCAACTACTGCAGAGGCTGAGGCAAGAGGACCACAGATTCAAGGCCAGCCTAGGCAACTTAGTGAGATCCTGCCTCAACATAAGAAATACAAAGGAATGAGGATGTAGCTCAGTGGTGGACAGCCCCTGGGTTTGTCCCCAGTACTGAGAAAGGAGGAGGAGGAGAAGGAAGAGAAGGAGGAAGAGGAGAAGGAAGAGGAGGAGGAAGAGGAGGAGGAAGAAGAAGAAGAAGGAAGAGGAAGAGAAGAAGGAGGAAGGAGGAAGAGAAGAAGGAGGAGGAGAAGGAGAAGAAGAAGAAGAAAGGAGGAGCAGGAGGAGGAGAAGGAGAAGAAGAAGAAGGAGGAGAAAAGATAAAAGATGTGGTTCCCATCAAATCCCCATTTAACTCAGCCAATAGACCTGTGTAGGCGCCAGATGGATCATCTTGAAGAATGACGAATAGCCATAAACCAAGTCAGGTGTGACTCCAATTACAGCGGTCATCCCAGATGTAGTATCTACTGGACATGGCATCTTCCTCAAAGCCACTGAGGAAGAGTCTCAACTGCCATCTGCTATGATGGGCCTGGCATGGTGGTGGCATGCCTGTAGTCCCAGCACTCAGAGGCAAAAGGATCTCCATGTGTCTGGTCCATCCTGGGCTGCATAGAGAAGCCTGAACTACATAGTGAGGCCCAGTCTCAAAACAAGCAAACAAACAAAGGCCATCCGCTATGGTGTAGTGACAAGAGTGACGTCTGACATCTCATCACTTTTACTATATTCAGTAGGTTAGGAACAAATCATAGCTCTCACACACGCTGCTGTGTTTCTGGGTGATAGGTGGGTGAAACCAAAAGAGCACAGGAGATGCTCGTTACATTCACGGATCCTAAAAAGAGTCACTGCATTTTAAGGAGGTCACACGGGAGGAGGGCCGAGGGAGCTGGCTCCACCAATCCTGGGGCAGCGGACAGAATGAAGACCTGTGGGCAAGAGCCTCCTCTGGAGTCAGAGGAGGAGAACACCCAAGGAAATGCGCAAGAGATTTCACTGGTGACTTTGCTACTGGTCACATCCAGGGGAGAATAGGAACAGGAACGTGTGACCAACCCACCTTATTACACTGGTGCACCTGGTCACCTGGGCAGGCTGCTCTCCTTTCTGGAGAGGCTGAGGCAGCAGGAAACTACCAAACACACTCAAGGGGAGGGAATTACACAAAAGGCTCAGTGCCAGGAGGCAGAGGGGGTCGTTTTAAAGTCTGACTGACAGAGCATCAGCCTAACAGTGAACCTAGCAGGGCATTTTGTAAAGTGTAGGCAAAGATGAGGTGCCTATGAGGGAGAAGGAGGCGCAATCCTCAGAAATGCTAGTAGAGAAAGAAGACATGAATTTTCCAAAAGCAACAGTATTCTTTCAAGTTTACAAATCTAAAATCTATAGAGTTGCCAGGCCAGGTGGCGCGCACCTGTAATCCCAGCATTCGGGAGACTGAGGCAGGAGGATCGTTGCAAGTTCGAGACCAGCCTGTGCTACAAAGTGAGCTCAAGGCCAGCACGAACTTTATAATGAGACCCTGTTGCAAAAAGAAAAAGAAAAATCTACAGAGTTCCATTAAGATGGGAGCTGGACAATGACTTATGAGGAGTTCCTCGTGGGTTTTGAGGTGTTGGAGGGATACTGGGGACTGAATCCGGGGCCTTCACACTGAGCTACATCTCCAGCCCCCCCCCTTTTTTTTTCTGTCTTTGGGACGAGGTCTCCCTAAGTCGCTAAATTGCCCAGGCTCGGCTCCAACTTTCGGTTGTCCTTTGTCTGCCTCTCGGAGTGCTGGGATTACAGATGTGCATCACCGCTCCCAGCTTCCACCTGAAGGTTGAACTGGCTCTAACCCTCAAGCTGGTTACAGCCGTGATGGTACCCAAGACCGCTAGGGGACGCTCCAGGATTGCGCACAGTGCCTACGCAGGCCAGCGATGTTTTGCACACCCACAACGTGTACGCACGCGCCAAAATCCACGCACGCGCACATCCACGAAACGCACGTTCAGGATTGTTTTTGTGGAAAGGCTCAGGCAGCCGCGGAGTGTAATCAGCCTCGGAGATGTCCCAGCTCCGCGGGGAGAGCAGTGCCCCAGAAATGAGCGCAGCGAATGGCGACAGCGCCGTCTTGCAGACTGGACTGGGCGGCAGGAGGCGGGCGCGGGAAGCCCAGGAAGGCCCAGTGCTGGACGCTGCCCGCCCGGTGGCAAGGGTGCGGGACCCAGCTCCCGGGCCGATCCCCAGCCACGTCCCCGGGCTTGTGTCAATGCCCAGCCTGCACGGGCAGCTGGGCCTCATAGGAATTCATCACCAGCGGTTATTCCGCCAGTACCTGAATAATTCCCCCATGATCCCAGTCAGGACACTCCGAGACATCGAGGCACGCCGCAGGCTGTTTGTGGAAGGCTGCAGGGCGAGGGAAGCAGCCTTTGATGCGAATCCCCCCGAGATGGACTCCGATGCCGTAGCTTTCGCCCTCGCTGTGACTGCCGCGGGGGCCGGCAGTCCTCTGGCCGACTGAGTCGGCGATGAGGTGGGTGGCGAGGAGGTCCGGTGAAAAGGCGAAGGCGGGCTTGCACAGACCTACGTGGTCGTTAGAGGGGAAATGCAAGCTTTCGAAGAGAACGCTGCAGTGCACAGTGGGACGCAGAAGCAGCCGGAAAAAGAAGTGCAAGGGCACCCGAGACTGTTAGAAGCTGCTTCCCGGGACACTTAGGACATGGCGTTGTGACTGTTAGTCACCCTTCCTTCAGCGGTCGTGCGGACTCCTTCAACATTATAAGGGATGGTTTTGCAAAGATGAGTTGTAAGAAAAATGGCCAGTGGTAGAACCCAAAGAAAGTAGCCAAGCTGACCGAAGACTTAAAGGAAATGCAGTTGTTAGGAGTCCGCTCCTGTCCGAGTTGTTAGGATTGGAAGGCTATTGAGAGAACCTGGAGTCATCCGTGGTCATCTCATTGTCAACTGACAGCTCTTGTGTAAAATTAATTTCCATGTTTTCTGAAAAAAAAAAACTTCAGCTCTGTAGTCCTCAAGAAAACGTATTTATAATGAGATAAGTATATTTTTTAAGACCACATGAAATTGGGTAGGTGTGGTAATAGATTTCTTTTTGTTATTGTTTAAACTGTTTTATTCCAGACTGTGTTCACAAGGCTCAAAAAAACAAAGTGTGGGGGCTTGTATTTAGATACTCCCCCCAAAGCCTCGTGTGATCATAGGTGGGGTTTTTTCAGAGGTGGCTGAATCTAGAGTGTGTGACTGATTCATGGGGCAGTGCTAGGATTACGGATGAGTAATTACTAAAGAGTCCATTGATTGGTTTGGCACCACCACTACCCTGATCCTGGTGGCCTGGATACAGTATAAGGGACAGAAAGAAGCTTGTCTTTCCCCTTGCTTCCTTGCTTGCTTGCTTGCTCTGTCACCTTCTGCCTGCCATGAACTGTTTCTCCTCTATGATACCCCTCTGCCACGCCACCCTGCCTTGGAACCAGCTGATCATGCCCTGAAACCTCTGCAAAGTGAGCTAAATAAACCTCTCCCCCTTTAACTTGGAGTGTTGGGTATTTTGTGTCAGCAATGAGAAAAAAGTAAGAATTTGGTACTGGAGAAGTGGGGTCGTTGCTGTGACCGTCCCTGACCATGTGGTTTAGGAACCTTCGGAGCTGGCTTGTGGGAAGAGGAAGAGTTAGGTTTGGAAATGCTGGCTGGAAAAGTAGAGCTGGAATGACTTAGGCTGTACTTGATGGGAGATTCAGGACCCAGAAGACCCAAATGCTGACAGAAATAATGCTAGTGAAGACCAGGCTCAGAAGGAGGTTTGTGTGGGGAAGGACTGCATCAGCTGTTCGACTCCAGGCAATGTGGGTTATGGCATGGCAGAAAGTTTGTCAGGCAGTGTCCATAGACTTTGCCCTAGACTAAGATTAAGGGTGGCAGACTAATTAATCTTAGCAGAAGAAATTTTAAGACAGACTAATGTTAGGGCATTGCCATGGCTACTGTTGGAAGCTTTAAACCAGGTTTATGTTGAGAATCAAGAGCAAAGAGCCCAGCAGACTGATTTAAAACCTTTTGAGTTTGGCCAGAAAGGAAGCTCAAGTAAAGTTGAGGCCTGCAAAGATGGAAGAGAGGAGAAATACCACTGAAAAGACTAGAAAGAGAAAAACAAGTATTTTAGAAGACAACAAAAAGATGGCCTGAGGGCATCACAAGAAACAGCAGGACTCCAACTTTTTATAGCCTTAGAGTTGCAAAGGTGACTTTGCTTTGAGAAAAGAGTCCCAGAGCACCATGTTCCAGAATGGTGGTAGCCTAGGGAAGTTGTTCCTCGGGATTTGGTTCATAGGCACTTGACCCCTACAGCTGAGACAGAAGGAAGTCTGGCAACTGCTCTAGCTGGCAGCAAACTTTGACATTATCCACATGGTAGTGGTTTGAGGTACATGCGGGATGCAAGAGTTGTGAGATCAGGAAGGCTTCCACCTAGATTTCAGAAGAAGGCCTGGGAGCCAGGCAGTGTGCCCCTAAAAGGGCAGTGTGTGAAAGAGTACAGTGGAGACCCTAGAAGTTTGGAGAAGCCAGGAACATGGATTGTCTAAGGAAAACTGCAAGGAAGGAGCAGAGCCAGCCCAAGGGAGAAGCTGTGGGAGCTTCAACCATCAGCGCTATACACATGGTGCTACCTGTGCCCTTTGGAGCTCACATCTTGCCACAGATTACCTCAGATGCTAGACATGGAACTGTAGGACTTAATGTTTGCCTTGCTGGATGTTGGACTTGCTTTGGTCTCATTCCTTTGTATCCCCCTATTTGTACCTTTGGGAATGGAAATGTCTATCTTGTGCCATTGAATGTTGGAAGTGTTTACTTCTCATTTGTACAGGGGCTCGAAGCTAAGAATTTGCCTTAAATCTCAGAGGACTTTGCATTTGGACTTTTCAGCAATGCTGAAACTCTTTGGACTTTAGAGATAGGCTAAATGCCTTTTGCGTAAAGGAATGCGCATGAGTCTTTGAGGGGCCAGGGGCAGAATGTTATGTCTTGTGTCTAGAAAAACTCCCAAAGCCTCACACAGTCATAGGAGGGGCTTTTTCAGAGGTGGCTGAATTGAGAATGTATGACTGAGTGCCAGGTGTGGTGGCACATGCCTGTAATCCCAGCACTTGGGAGGCTGAGGCAGGAGGATCGTTGCAAGTTAGAGACCAGCCTGGGCTACAAAGTGAGCTCAAGGCCATCCTGAACTGCATAGTGAGACCCTGTCTCAAAAAGACTAAAAAAAAAAAAAAAAAGAGAGTGTATGATTGATTAATGGTGCAACACTAGGAGTGAGAGTGGGTGATTACTAAATCAGTGCACTGATTGGGGCAGAAAGAGGCTTGTCTTGCCCCCTGCTTGCTTTGCTACCTTCTGCCTGCCATGAACTATTTCTCCTTTGTGATGCCCCTCTGCCACACCACCCAGCTAATTATGGACCGAAACTTCTACAAACTGAACTAAATAAACCTTTCCCTCTTTAACTTTTGGTACTGAGTATTTTATCTCAGCAAGGAGAGAAAAGTAAAACACAACATATCGAAAGATATACTGTAAGAAGTTAACCTCCTTTTCCTATCCTGGGTCTGCTGACTTGAAAACTGTTCCTGACAAGTACCTTTGTCAGTGGTTTGGTATTTTGTTTGTTCATCTGTATTTGCTTTTTTTAACTGAATGACTTTTGACAATTTCCTAATGCATGTATAAATTGAAATCAACCTAGATATTTGTTGGAGATTACTATGAAGCGGCTCTTAGCAGGATTTAATATTAAACAATTGGCTTTTCGTGCCTACGTGTGAAGTTGCCCGAGGCCTAGGCCCTTTGTCTGGAGATGGGCAGTGAACTCATAGTAAGTGAACCTCTATGAGTCACTGGTCCCCACTGAGGCCTGTGTTGGCCTGTGAAGTTGGGTCGCCTCAAAGGACAAATAAGGCCACAGCTGGGGATGTTTGGCCACAACCCCAGTTATCTAAAAGGCAACCGTGGCTGCAGACTTCTCACACCTGTGGTGAAGGCCTTCCTGGAGATAACATAGTTCTCCTAAATTAACATAATGTATTACTTGGAGAAGTCCTTAGAGGGATTCCCAAGTCCTGCCCAGATTCCTGCATTTTCTTCAGTATTCCCCTCCTTTGTTTTTAAACCTAGTAAATATGGGCCATGTAGAGAAGTTCTTCATCTTAGCCCCCAGATTCTCGAGTTCTGTGAGAGGGTTTTAAGCCTCCCAGGGCCCTGAAATCATTTCATTTGTCTCATTTATTTAAACCTTTGCCATCTGCTCGTTTGGGAGATTGTGGGCCTGATCAGTCTGCAGTAACTAGGGGATAATATTAACGCATAGATATTCTGCTTTTTCCCCTTTTCAAATCAAGGTAGCATAGTATCTACCTGTATCATCATCTTGGGGTTTTTCACTTACATTGGAGAGATTTGCATATTTTTTTCTTTTTTTTAACAACTACAATGTAGGGCTGTATTGTAATATAATGAAGTAGTCATACTTGGTTGTGTTTCCAAAATGTTTCAGTATTTCCTGTGTATTTGTACGTGCCTACTCATTTTCCATAGAGCAGATGTCTAACAGGAAGCTCTGGATTAAAGGGTAAAGGCATAGGTGTTTTTAATAGGGATTATGAGAGAGCTTTGCCCTCCGTTCTGCCAGTGATGAATGAGCCTGTTTCCCACAGCCTGGCCAATCAGACTTTGGAGAATCAGGCAGTGGAACATCATTTCTGTCACTCTAGTTTGTGTTTCTCTATGATGGAGAACATATGTTTTCTATATATATAAACCATTTGTTTTTGCTTCCCTGTGAACTGTCCATACACACACACACACACACACACACACGTATATATACTTTTTTTGTTTTGTTTTTTGGGGTTTTTTCCGGTACCTGGAATCGAACTCACAACATTGTGCTTGCCAGGCAGGTGCTGTGCCTCTGAGCTAAATCCCCAGCCCCCTACTTTTTTTTTTGAGACAGGCTCTCCTTGTGTAGTCCAGGCCAGCCTTAAGTTCACTATGTAGCCCAGGCTGGCCTGAAACTCAGGGCGATCCTACCTCAGCCTCCCAAGTGCCGGGATTACAGGTATGTGTCACCGTGCCCGGAAGTCTATCATTTATATCACTTTTTACTGGCTGCTTATATTCAAGTCAGTTTGTGTTATTAGTTAGCCCTTTGTGATATAAGATGGAAGGATTTCCTCAGTGGTGATTGCTTCCCTCCCCTCCCCCACCACACACAACCACTCATTGGGAATAGAACCCAGGGCCTTTGCACTGAGGGATACAGTATCTCCTCTTTTTTTTTTTTTTTTTTTTTTTTAAGACAAGGTCTCATTAAATTGCTCAGGGTGGGCCTGGACTTGTGACTCTTGTGCCTCAGCCTCCCAGAGTGCTGAGAGTTCCCGCATGCCCCACACCCCGGCTCAGTCTGACTGTTTTTGAACCTCTTGCTCTGCATAGAAGTATTTGTTTTCATGTAGATGTACATAATTTTCTTCTTTTGTGACTTATAGGCTCTCAGTCACAGTAAAAGGCTTTGCCTCTGCACGATCATGAAGGAATGCTTTAATTTTAAATGCTAACATTATTTATATCATGTACTGGTACAAATTCCCTGTAATGAATGTGATCATTATGTAAAATGATTATCGAAAATGTACCAATAAACTTAATTTAAAAAATAAAAATACTAACATTAAAACTGTTACTCATTTGAAATATTTTAGATTCTAGGAGTATTAGTCTACCCTCATTTGCTTCTTTTGTATTCTTTTCTGGCTACTCAGGTATTTTTCCCCCTATTGTGAGACTTTGGACCACCTGTATTCACTGCAGTTTTTACAAAAGCGAGTGGTATTTCTATTTGGAGTGCATTAAATAATATGCTTTTGAGTGAAAATTGGCATGTTTGTGATGTCTCCCTATCTGGTAAGTCCCCATTTGTTCCAGTACTTTCTTTAGGTCCCAAAATGTGTTTTAAAGTTTCCTTTATGGGGGCTGGGGATTTAGCTCAGCGGCAAAGCACCTGCCTGGCAAGCACAAGGTGGTGAGTTCGATTCCTGGTACCGGAAGAAAAGACCAAAAAAAAATTTTAAAGTTTCCTTTATGTAGGTATTGCATATTTTAAAGAATATTCCAAGAGGGGCTTGGGATATGGCTCAGTGGCACAGCACCTGCCTGGTGAGCACCATGTCCTCAGTTCGAATCCTGGTTCCCCCTGCCTCCAAAAAAAAAAGGCTATTCCAAGGGAAGTAAAAGGAATTAGATATGAAAAAAAAAAAAAAAAAAAAAAAGGAATTAGATATGTACAAGTACCAGTTCCCCATGATGAGTGTAATTATTAGGTATTGCAAACATGTGTTAACAAAAAATTTTAAGAA